TTGTTGAGGGGTTTAGGCGATGTTCCAGCTGTTGAGGACAAGGAGGGGCAAATGGGGAATAAGGAGGACGATGAGGCATTGGAGAATCTGGAGATTGAAGAGATGAAGATGTACCTGAAGCATTTTGAGTTGAAGGCTCAAAAGGCACAGCTTTTTCTGCAGATGATGATCAAGTCCCGGGGCCATTGATGGTGTGCATGCAGGTTAATCAATATCTGTGGTTTATTAGGCTTATTTTGTGATGGAACAATTGGGTATTTTGGTTTGTGTTTATGATTTGCTAGTTTCCAGCCTTTTGTTACTAAGTCTAGGAATTATGGTTTATTTTGTGATGGGTAGTATCTTACCATTAACCCTGTTTATCCTTGTAGTTTGCTTTTGAATGTCCTTTGTGTATGAAGGCTCCTTGATATATCTACCTACATTATTAGTATGTTTACCAATTTCCTATGCAGGTATGGCTGGCTTTGAAAGTATATTATAATGTAGTTTATTATTGCCAACTCGGGCACAAATTTGCGATTTTTGGTTCTTCATTTGCATTCAAACAAAAAAAACACTTTAGGCCTGTGAAATTTATGCAAATGCACGTCAAATTATCATTTTATTGATAATCTATATGAATGTATCACATAACATTGAGCAAAATATGCAGATTTATTTTTCTATAGAAGAAAATACTACCTTCTCCAATTTTGCAAAACATACCAAATTTTTTGGGACTCTATCAATTAGTTTTGATACTAATAATATCACAAATGATTTTTGTAAAGAAATATTCTGTGTTGATAATTCTTAAGAGTCTAACTAATATCTAGAACACGTTATAAACTTAAAAATTTTGGAATACAAAATTTATATAGATAAACATGATATGTCATGCATTAAATTGGTTGATATCCTATTACATTATTTATTTGTTTTTTTTAATAAATAATTTTCTTAAGTTTTAACATTTTGAATTTTTTAGCCCTGCCTGATGCACGGGTTTCCCCATAATAATGTAATATCACCTTAACGACCATTCATATTGAAATTGTATACCTTTTACTGTTTTAAAATATTTATAACGTAATTTCTCGTGTTTTAGTTCTTATACTACGTACCGTAAATAGAATTTCCTATTGCGTAAGCTATAAGAATATAAGATTTAGTTTGTTAGAAATATCAAAATATTTGAATATAATAAAATTGAGTGGTTAATTTTAAAAAAATATCTTAATACAAGACATAAATTTTAGAATAGTATAATAGTTGAGTATTATGATGAATAAAGAGAGGGCGATTTTTATTTTGGTATAAAATGTCCGAATTTATATGGTATGAATTTCATTTAGTATGGATGGAAGTGTATTTGAAAATTTTAAAAATAAAATAAGTGATATAAATTTTATTTAGTATGAGTATGAAAGTTGAATTTTAGGTTGATTTGTTATAAAATTAAGGTGATACAATTCTCAAATTTTAACATATTCTCATATAACTTGCCATAAGTTATTGATGATAATTCGACAAATTGATATGTATTCCTCTTGAAAATTAGAAAGATCTTTGAATAATAATAAAATTTAAAATTTGTAATTAATTCTCAAAAATTAGTTCATAAATTTGAACAATAAGGTAACCGACAATAAATATAGAAAATTTTGAGATTAGTAAAATATAAATATATATATCTATTACTATATAATACGGAGAAGAAAAATTATTTGAAGAATCCGAAAATAATCATTTCGTTTTCCCGCTTCAATATAGTGTTTTTCCCGCTTCTTCAATTCGTAAAATTTTTTTTTTGAATTTTTTCAGCCCATGCAATTTGGTAACCAATCAAATCGAATCTTTTAGCATTCAATTTGGTAAGGTGTTCCGATTTTAGCATTCAAATCCGATTTCACTTCCTTTTTTTATGGCAATCAATCCGATTTTTTTGGTTGTTTCAAAATTTGTTTAGATTTATACTTTTATTTTATTAATATATTTGAAAGAGAATCAATAAATGTTTATCATAACTTTTATTTTAAAAATAAATTTGAATAAGCATACCTTTTACTTTATATGAAATTCAAAATTACATATTTTAATATATTAATAAACATTTATTATTTATTTTTTCCTTATGTGATATAATAGAATTTCGGTATTAAATTTGTAAATTCAAACATTTAAAGGAAAAGATTCCAAACAATTTTTTTGGGTAAATTTCATTTTATCTTGGTTTTCATTATCACATTTCTAACAAACTAATTAGTATTATATTTTTTTATCTACATTATCTAACCGATTTTTTATGATACAATTAATATAATATCTTAACAAATTAATCATTTGTCTAACCGGATTTATCTCTCTAACAAACTTGCCAATTTTTTTAAAATTAAAATGGTATGATTATTCTTATGGAGATACTTATCAATATATTAAATATTTAGAAACTTTTTTAAAAAATGAATTATCCCTCATTTTACTTTATTTGAAATTTTGACTTATATTTTTAAATATATTATTATTTATTTTTTTACATGTAAATATTTATTATTTATTATCTAAGTGATAAATATTATTGATTTATCTCTTTAATAAATATTTATTATTTATTTTTTTCCTTACGTGATATAATGTAAATTTGGTTACTAGCTTTTAAATTCAAACATTTAGGAAAAAACCACGAATAAATTTTTTGATTAAATTTCATTTTATTTTAATTTTCATATAATCACAATCCTAACAAACTAATTATTGTTCGGCTCCCCAGTAGACATCTGTTAGTGATCCTGCTTCAAGTGGTAGGATATTCGATATAATCTCTATTATATTATATATCTTTGACTAGTGTGTGGCCCGTGCGATGCACAGGAAAACAATAATACGATTGTATTATAAATTAAATATATAAATAACATTAATCATAATTTATCTATTGTTTTTAAATTAAACCGGGTTGCACACAGTCCGCCCGGATGGATCGAGAACCGGTTTATAACCAGTCTAGTTCGCTTGAATAAAATATTTGCTCTGGAATCCGTCAACACCAGTCGGTTGGACTGGTAGGATCAATACGATTTTCTAAATAAATTTTGTTATATTTAAAATTATTTTAAATAAAATTATATATTTAAATAAAATAGAAATTTATATATTATTTATTAATTAGTTTAAACATTTGAATTTATAAATTTTTTAGATATCTAACTAACTATATATATATATATATTAAAACGTTTATAAATTAAAATCTAAACAAACCACAAATGATTTAATAAAATAGCTTGATCATTCGATGACTGTCCCAGTTCTGAAAATCTTATATTTACTGTACATTAATAAATATTATAATAAAATATTATTTAATTCACATAAATATTAACAAAATTATATATAAATATTCATAAATCATTAAACATGTTGTCATAAAAGTATTGTTAATACGATTATTTGAAGTTTGGACTAAATCACATTCATATTTTCAATATAAAATTTATATTTAGGTTCAATAATTGATTTGGTGTGGTCGAACGGATACATAACTTAGTCACCTTGGACCAACCAAGTCGTGTCAAATTTTTTGATTATTTTAATTATCATCTAAAAGTAATTCAATCAACTTGGGCAGTACCCTAATTCAATCACCTGATTGATCCGAAGAATTTTTCTTATTTTCTTTAGATATATTTAATTTTATGAAATAAAAATATTTTATGACATATAATAAATGTCAACACCAAATGATAGTATATTAAGATTATATATTCTATATCTAAAGATGAATTAATTATTTTTACTTTATGCATATTAATAAAAAATAAATATAGTAATTTTAAAAAAATTAAGATTAATTGATTGATTATGCAATTTAAAGAATATTTTTAGCGTTCAATATGTTTTTTTAACGGTACAAATATAAAAACGAGATTCTAAAACTTTTGTTATATTTTGAATTGAGATTTTATAAATATAGAGACTGAGATTTTAATGTTGTTAGTTATTTTTAAGAAAAAAAAAATAAAAATAAAAATATACACACTTAATAAATCTTACTTTTTTAAATAATAAAAGAAACTAAAACTCGAAATTTAAGGTAGCATTTAATGTTGTATGATTTTTAAAGAAAAAAATAAGAAAAGTAATAAAACTTACTATATATAGGCTGTATTAAATTTTGACCTATTTTTTTGCTATTATTTTTAGTAAATGTTAATTCTTATTATATATATAGAGATAGATTTGATATGTAGCTACGTGTCACGTTCTTATTGGAGGGGATATGTAATTACACTAGTCTTATTATTATTATTATAACCCGAAGAATGGGTCATGTTAAATCGGCTCGGACACGGCTCATTTCAAACCCTAATCCTGAAACCAATAAATTGTTCACGTTTCCTGAAATTCGCCGGCCGATCGACTGGCTCCGATGTTGGCACCTATAATTAAGCGTCTCAGCAAAGTATGGGAACCAAAAACCTCCTCTTGTTTTACGCCCCGGCGCCGAGTAGATGATTTCTCCTCCGTCAACGTCGACGTCCTAATTCGTTACCACCGCGAGTTAGTCGCCCTTGGGCCGTCGGTGGTGGCAATGACCAAACTACTGAACGCCGTCGTGAGGAAGAAGCACTACTCGGATGCCCTCTTGTTGTTCGACGAAATGCGGCTTAGGAAGGTCCCCGTGGACGAGTACACCATGAACATCGCCATCCGCTGCTTTTGCCTGCTGAGCCGGCCGGAGTTGGGGCTCGCCGTCTTGGGCAGCTTCTTCAAGCTGAGCCTGAAGCCGAGCCTGGTCACCTTCAACACTCTCCTCAGGGGACTCTTTTCCAACGGCAAGGCCCTCGAGGCCGAGGAGCTGCTGTCCAATTCCCTGACTCTGAAAACGTTTGAGCCCAACGAGGTCACGGCCGTCACTGTGGCCGAGGGGCTCTCCGGGACCCGAGCCGCAGCCTCCCTTGATTTGCTCGAGTTAACGGGTGGTCTGAAGCCTAACGGTTTTGCTTATTCTGCGGTGGTCGCCGGTCTGATGAAAGATGGAATGGCCGACGATGCCCTCCAAGTCCTGTTTAAAGTAACCGAAAAGGGGGTTTCGGCAACTGCCGTCGTCTATGCTTCCATGTTTCGAACGCTGTGTGATGCCGGCCGGTGGAGAGACGTTAAAACCTTGATCCGAAAAATGGCGGAGCACAATATATGTTTCGATGGGACCTCGCGCAGCGTGTTGATGGCTGCTTTCAGCCAGAAAGGAATGGTGGAGGAGGCCGAGGGCGTATTGGAAATCATGGCCCAGATAAACGATGCGTGTTTGCTGGACCATATGGATAAGGTCAAATGGTGATGCGAGGTTAATTTTTTTTTTAATTTCAGATATATTCCACAAATAAGTAGTACATTTGGATGACATGGAAGCAAGTTGATTCCTAATAGCTTAGGAAATTCCAGTGATTTGTTTAACTTATATACATATTAATAATAAGACGCTGACCTTGTGGATATCTGGATTCCTATAGAATAATGACACCATTGGTATCAAGCTGCATAATCATGGAATTCGCCGGCCAATAATTAAGCTTCTCAGCCGAGTATGGGAACCAAAAACCTCCTCTTTTGGTTAATTTCTACTGAAGCAGCCTGGCGGGGCGCTGTCGTTCTTGTCGGCTATGGAGGGGAAAGGCGTAAATCCGGATGAAGTGACTTACGGGATCGTGGCTGTGCAAAAACGGGCTGCAAGGACTTTCTTGAACAAACTTCCGGGCGAACAGAGTCTCTGCTCCGAGAGATGGAGAGGAAAGGCTGACCGGCTGATGACGTGGTGAATACGAGAGGACAGAAGTTCAGTTAAATGGTGTTGTTGCAGGAGTGACTTGACTTGAGGATGAACTAAGCAGTGAATAACATTATCCAGATAGGTGTGTTAGATGATGTATATGCTATTGGGGGTTGGCGGGAAAATGTTGTTATCACTGGATTTGTTTTTCACACCATGTAATCTATGTGTGTTCGTTAAAAGTCCGTTAGGCTGCAGTACGGTAATCGGATTATTGTTTAGGTTAATTGATCTTGGGTTTGCATAATTATGTGTCGTCTGTGAAGCTGCATTCTCCTTTATTGAATGAGGAGGGACTGAATACTTTTTCTTAGTAATTGATCTATATGCACTACTCAATCACTAATAGGGCTCGATATATAAATTTATTTACTTCTTAATAAATTATGATTTATTATTTTTTAATTAGGATTGGTTAGTGTTGACGGTCGACCGCCAACGGTTATTTGTTCATATAAATTCCGCAGTTTAGTAGGGGGTTATTAGTCGTAATCAATCTTGGAAGGATATGTACAAATTTAGAAAAATAATTATGCATGGAAAAAAGGAACATGTTGTCGATCGGCTGTGGCCATCAGCAAGGAGAGTGGTTTTCCCTCAGCAAGGAGAATGGTTCACTGGAACTTTTATTGAGAAACTGCAAAGTGGTGTATTACAACCATATCAGAGTATATGAGGATGAAATTTTGAGTAGTGGTTGTGTTTTTAACCGTTGATGTGTTGTTTTCCACGGCCTGGAGGGGTCGGTATTTATCAGTGTTTTAAATAGTACAATTTCACGCGCTACAGCACATTTTTACTCCAATACGCGACGTTGCGTATATAATTTCGCGCAATCCCTAAAAAGCGCGCGCAATTTACGCTATATTTTGATTTATATACGCAATTCCTAAATTGTTCACGCTATTTGGGCAATCCTTATTTTTTATAGGCAAAAAATAAAAATAAACTGCAAAGAAAAACGTAGAGCACAAAATCGAGGAACCGGCCATTATTTCACTTTTTTCTTCACTAGCATTTCACCTTCAACGCTCCTCCACAACCTGGTTCATCCTCGGCTATCGCAACTCCACACTCCACAGCCACTAATCCTCACCGATCGTCACAGTATATCTTTCTCACCCGGTACCCACATTTGTCCTGCGACGCCACCCCACAGCCGCTCCTCGGCTCTCGGCTGGTACCCACCATTCCTCTTATGCTTCCATTACTTTTTGTTGCTTGTGGAAGGAATATGTATGGATGTCGTTGTTGTATGTTTCTCTTTGAAATAGTTTTCTGCGGGTATTCTCGTGGGGTTTTTGTAATTTCTCCCATGGTGAATTTGGGTGATTGCTAAATCCTGTTTCGTATATCTTGAAAACAAAAAAAAAATATTTGAAAATTTTATATCAACATAACTAGGATTGAACTTTTGGACTATTACAATCATGAGATGTTTATGTTTCCTAAGCCCAAAAGTGAAATGAGAAAAACAATTCCTAACTTTGATGGTATTGATGATGACAACCAAATTCAATTGGATAACCCTGATTATTTTAGATTTTGAGTCTTTACTTTAAAGAATAAGACTTTGGTTGTCTATAAGAATTAATATTTGAATGTTATTTTTTAGATTTAATGTCCAACCTTATGGTTTAAGATCATTTCAATTATTTATTTGCTTGTATGGTTATATATATTTTTATTTTTGGCATATAAATTGAATTGCTCGATTAGCTACGCAATGCGCTACTCAATTTACGCTACGCAATATAAGGACCAAAACGCGATGCACTGCGCGATGCATGTTTTCAAACACTGTATTTATACATAAAAAAGAAAAAAAAAACATTAAATTTTTGGTGCTAGCTAGGGGCGTAGGTGGCGCTGTATGTATCAACGCAAACTTGTCTTTTCAGAATTAGACGGATTGGGCGGTGCCATCAGCGTTATCAGTTTGGTGTTCAGACGAGAAGATCTCGTCAATCTTCTTCGAGAAGATTCAAAGGGTGGACGGCAAGAGCAGGTTTTGACCGATCGGAGAATCAAAAACCCTAATCCCATGTTCTTTGGCTGCTCGCGAGATGGTCTGGATGCTATAGACCGTCTATCTGAGGGGCTTGGCGTGGGCCCAACTTCGTACTTGGTATATATTCTTTGAGGGCATTGTATTCGGAAGATTTTTTAGGCAAAACACAGAGGCCCTAGGTTCCAAGGCGCGGAAGGATCGCCGAGGCGCCTGTAATGCTATGAACTCACAATATTGCCACTCACACAACGGTTATGCTGAAAGATTAAATGAGGAAACACAACTTGTCTTTCGGATGGATCCCTTGGGTTTTGTTCCCTGAATGTGATGAGACGTAATGGTTGGAGGGAATGCCTTTAGTAAACTGGGAGTTCCCCTTGAGATGTCCTAATTGCATTTTTTGAACTTTTGAAATATATTGAGAGTCTTTCTTTTTTATTTCTACTTTTTGGTTTTCTTGTACCTTCAAACTGAATACGTCGAATATGAGCGACCATGAAATGGAGACGACCCCTACGTCGGAGGGTTATTGGTTTCGTCCGCCGATTCAGGAACGTCGGAGGAGGGGGATATTGAAATATGTAAGCTTGTGAGTGCTTTGTGGGATAGTGATCTTGTAAATCTGCGAGAGAAATATGAAATACCAGGGATGGTAACGATGTTTGTCCCGTACGAAGGGGAACGGGCCCATTGTCCTCTGAGAGGAAGCACCGTCGTGCATTGCGAATCCTTAAGTATCTGGGCTAAGGTTTTCACTTCTGCCAATAATATCATAATACTTGTGGAAATGGGAGATCGGCATTAGCCAAGTGCACCCGAACGCGTTCTATCGCTTGTGCTCCTTAATCATCGTGTTTCTAGGCAAGGGGTGGCCGGCTCTGACCGCAGAGGAATTGGATTATGTATTTATGTGAAAGACATTAAAAGACAGATCAGACAACTTTCATTTGCCGCCGCATGACAAAAGGTATGCCAACTTGGTTAGCTATGTTCCAGAGTCCCGGCATGGTTGGAAACAGGACTGGTGTTGGGTAGCAGGAGAGTGGAGAACTTGTCGGCTGTCCGACCAGTTTGCATATGTGTCAACCCATAAACAAAAAATAAATAAAAATGCGTAAGTCTCTTTTAAATCATCGATGAATTTTTCTTTTGTTCCTTCGACTTAATTTTATTATTTTCCGGTTTAGCGGATAAGACGACTCCTCCCTTGGACGTGGAATTCACTGAGAAGATGGAGGGAATACTGAGTTTGACGATCCTGAGATCAGTTGCCAAACGCTGTGTCAAAGTGAGGAATTGGCGAAAGAAAATCTACACCCGAGTTTTGATGATACACCGGTAGGGACAGGTAATTTTTAGAGAGTTTTGTCGGGTATCTATATATATTGAAAGAGGTTGATGAAATAATCTAAAATAGTAACTTTGACTTTGTAATTAAATAGGTTAATTTACTACGCAAAGAAATATAGTAAAAATTACTTTAACATTTTAAAAAATAAAATCAAATTATACCTACCTCTTGTAATTCGTGCAATCCGGTTAATAAAACGATCTTCTATATAAATAAAGTGGTATCAATTTTGAAAACCATTTTGTGATAATTATGGAAAAAAAGAAAAGAAAAATGATTCTTCATGTAACTGCATTTTTTTTTTTAATATCTAGGTAACCAACCGTACAACATATCTTCAAAAAATGTCTTTTAAATATATTTCGTTTTTAGAAATATTATTTGAATATGCATGATAATATTGAAAATATAATTACAAAACAAAAATTGAAAATCAGTTTTGGAAATTTTATTATGATATTTATCACAATGTTACCCTTGAATCTTATTTATCAACATTAATAACAAACCACAGTGATTTCTTACTCATTTAGTATGTCAACAATATACCAAAATATTTTTTATCGTATCTTCAAAAAATCATGTAATCGAGAGGATTAGTTTAGAACCCTCTGATTTATCAATAATTCAACTGTTACAATTTTTTAAAAATTATATACCCAATTTTTCAAAATATCAAAAGAAATTTAACTATTTATCTTTAATAACAATCAAATCTTTATTATAAATTATAAGGAAAAATAAAATAATATTGATGTATTAAAAATTTATAATTTTTTAACATCAAAATAATATATATTACAATCTTTTTAATTAAGTGTTTGTTATAGTATTTGTCATAATTTTTTAACTTTAGCCTAACTTATTTAGAAATTGAAATAATATGTTGTAACAAAGTATGAGTAAGAGAAGATAGAGGGAGAGAAGTATTTTATGAGTTTTATTTATTGATAATATTTGAATATGCTAAATTTTCATTATCCTTAATTATAAACAGGATCTAAAATGACAACTATTTTATAACGAGTGAAATAAATATATAAATTATATATTGCAAAATAGAATAAAAAATTATAAATATTCAAAACTATTTTTATACTAATCAATATTCTTTCATTGCGTTAGTACATGGAATTATAATTATTGCCCCGTGCATCGCGCGGGTTACGTACTAGTATATATATAATGTATAAGGGGATTTGTTGTGTAGTCTAAATTTGGGTTCTAAATTTAAAGTGGAAATAAGCAATTATTAATTACTTATGGGTCAATATTAACTCGGACGTAAATAGAATAGTAAATTATTTATAGTTTAATAAATTACTCAACTACTTAAATTTTTTATTTGGATAATTTATATGAAAATAAATTTATTTTAATTTTTGAAAAAATATATCTTTCAATATTATACTTATTATTCAGATAAATTTTTAAATATATGATATAATTTTATCAAAATAGTTATTTTATCGAACTACATTATATTCAAAACGATTTTTGAATAAAGTTTTTAAAATGACACTTATTTTGAAATAAATATAATGTAATTTATTATCAGTTATGTATACCGTACGGGTCGTGTATTAATTTTAAATAGACATGTTTTATGTAATTTTATAATATTTAAATTTCTCATAATATTTTAAACTAATATAGGTAAATAATATCACATATTGATTTTATATTTTTAATTTAAAAATATTATTTAATAATTATTTTTAATTTATAAATATTAATGATTATCTCTTAGAGTGCATGATTTGTACTAATTTACATTGAAGGTGCCTCGTAAAAAAAAGGGTTTTATTTGTACCAAAAAAAAAAGAAAGAGGGTCTCACAGTTCGCTCACTCCACTTTATATAATTAACATCGCGTAGACTTGACAAGCCAAACCTTTTTTCAACTTACCACTACTTCGCCACTCACTCTCATTCTGTCTCCTCCAAAGAAAAACCCTAACATCATAATTTTCTCACCGTAAAATGGCGAAAGCTCGTGAGCCCGTCTCCTCTTCTGGCGAGGAGGAAACCGAAAATTCTTCGTCTGAGGAAATCGGATCTGAGCCCGAACAGATCCGGAAGACTTCCCCACCGCCGGCCGCCGCGAGGAAACCCCAAACCCCTTCGGCCATAATACCCGCCCCATCCGACGAGGATTCTGAATCCGAATCCGACAGGAAAGCCAGAAATAATTCCAAGGCGAAGAAGTCGAGGGCCAGATCTACCAGGAAGAGGGCCGTCGAGGAGGTTAAGGGGACGGAGTCCACTGTTACTAAGAAGTCGAAGAAGAGTAAGAAGGCTGAACCCGAGAAGAAACAAATGTTCCAGAGGATTTGGAGCGAGGCGGACCAAATCACCATCCTCAACGCCATTCTGCAGTTCAGGGCCGAGAAGAAATCGGACCTGAATGAAAATTTTGACGCTTTTTTTGAGTTTATCAAGAAGAATTTGCAAATTGAGGCGACGAGGGCCCAGCTGAGGGGTAAGATTTCTAGGATGAAAAAGAAGTATACAAACTACAAAAGAAAGGAGCATGATGGTAAAGGAAGAACCTTTACGAGCCAGCATGAGCGGGAAGCCTACGATCTGTCGGAGAAAGTGTGGGGTGCTGAGAAAGAAAATGCCAATGGAAGTGGGGCCGAGAAAGAAAACGGCAATGGAAGTGGGTCCGAGAAAGAAAACCCCAATGGAAGTGGGTCCGAGAAAGAAAACGCAGCTGGTGAGAAAGAAAACATGGTCGAAAAAGGCAATGGAAGTGGTAGTGAGAGGAGGTTTGTGTGGATGAGTGAAAGCTTGTTGAGGGGTTTAGGCGATGTTCCAGCTGTTGAGGACAAGGAGGGGCAAATGGGGAATAAGGAGGACGATGAGGCATTGGAGAATCTGGAGATTGAAGAGATGAAGATGTACCTGAAGCATTTTGAGTTGAAGGCTCAAAAGGCACAGCTTTTTCTGCAGATGATGATCAAGTCCCGGGGCCATTGATGGTGTGCATGCAGGTTAATCAATATCTGTGGTTTATTAGGCTTATTTTGTGATGGAACAATTGGGTATTTTGGTTTGTGTTTATGATTTGCTAGTTTCCAGCCTTTTGTTACTAAGTCTAGGAATTATGGTTTATTTTGTGATGGGTAGTATCTTACCATTAACCCTGTTTATCCTTGTAGTTTGAACCCTGTTTATCCTTGTAGTTTGCTTTTGAATGTCCTTTGTATATGAAGGCTCCTTGTTATATCTACCTACATTATTAGTATGTTTACCAATTTCCTATGCAGGTATGGCTGGCTTTGAAAGTATATTATAATGTAGGAGATCAGTTTATTATTGCCAACTCGGCCACAAATTTGCGATTTTTGGTTCTACATTTGCATTCAAACAAAAAAAAAAAAAACTTTAGGCCTGTGAAATTTATGCAAATGCACATGTCAAATTATCATTTTATTGATAATCTATATGAATGTATCACATAATATTGAGCAAAATATGCAGATGGCACAAAAGGAATTGTTTGTAAGAAGTTGTATACAGATCAATGTGAGCTACTTAAAGAAACAATTTGCAGATTAGAACATGTCAAAAGTACAAACTTGGGATATGATTCTTGATCTATAAGGAAATCATACAATTGAGATTGGTGATTTCTTGATTGATTTAAAGGGAATAAAAGAAGGATATATATTGTTATTAATTACCATTTATTACAAAGGCCATTTCATTTGCATTCAATGAACAAAGAGTAACAAATTACTTTCTGAGTCACCTAAATTTGTGAAGCAGAAAGAATCAAGAATCAAGTAATGTGCAGAGGGCAGATCATCATCACAAAGTAAACACTATCTTTTTACGTTTTATGTGATTGTTATATGTTTTATCATGTTACGAGACTCCTACCTTTATGATGGATTCATATAAAGCAATTTCAACCTATTTTTTTGGAACGTATGTATTTGTATTCTACGAGTCAGCCAAATATATGTATTAAGGTTTGACACATTTTAAACAACAATTTTTTTTTTTTTTTGCAGACAAAAAAGCAATAAATTTTTCATAATTATAGACTAAAAATACCAAGCTTCATTTCAACAATTTCAAGATAAATGAAAATGATAATTTAAATGTTGGACAAAAGCGATGATCCTTCTGCAGCGCATGACATTTTTTGCGTTCTTCCTGTCCACCGACGAGAATAGAGAAAAGGCAGCAAAAGAAGTGTTCGACACACTCAAAATCATTCAAGACCAGTCTCTGGGAGAGAAGAAATTCTTCGGTGGTGAAAAAATTAGAGTGGTGGACTTGAATTTCAGGTGGCTCGTCCACTGGTTTGAACTAATGCAAGAATTCGTGGGCTTGCGCGTTTTCGAACCAACCACTCTGCCCAAATTGCATCGGTGGACCATAGATTTCAAACAAGAACCTGTGATCAAGGAAAATCTTCCAGACAACAATGCATTGCTGACACACTTCGGAAAGTTCAAGAAGGAACTCACATCACCAAAGAACGACTAAACGAGAATCTTAAACACACATACTTTCTAAGTTTTTTTTTGTTTTCCAATTTGGGTTCGAATAAAATAGTATGATACATCAACCACTGTTATTGTATGCTTTGACATTATCAGCATATGGAGATAATATGAATTCTCACGAAAGCTGTATTTACAATGACTTCACATTTACTATCTTCTGCTGCTGCTTATTTTGTATTGTTCTATGGGTGGTTTCGGTTCTACGCGCGACAAGAACTATCAGAACCTCATAGATTCATGTCAAGGCGTCTCGTCAAATGCCATCACCTGCAAACCAAAACAAAAGCAAAATTTGAAAAAAAATAATAATAATAAAACATAAAACAAACAAAAAAAATTATCATTGAATGGTAATAAATGACTGTGTAGACATAAATTTATATAAAATGTACATGAAAAGAGTATATCCTACCCATTTAATAAAAAGATGAGGTATATATAAAGTTAATCTTCACATAAAATCTAACATATATTAATGCATAGGAAATGATCAGAAGAGTTACCTTGCCACAGACTGGGCAGTTGTCACTTCTTTCCATCCACTCATATATACAACCAAGATGGAAATGGTGAGAACATTTTGTATTTATTTTTGGGTCCTCCGTGGTATATTCTGCATGATGAAAAATTGCGTGAGGTGTAAAACTAAAACGTGTGAACGGTTATCAGTAATTTACTCGAGCAAGAAAAAAGTGAATGTTTTAAGAAACACATCTAGTCCTTCAAAATGCCTCAGAATAAAATGCTACTTTCTCCCTCGATGACAAAACACGTTTCACAAGGTTCGAATCAGATCAGTTATTGATTAAAATTTGGCCGGATAATTGCATAAACTACCCTCATGTTCAGGATAATAACATTCACCAAAAAGTCTGGAGTTTGAGAGTTCATAAGACGCCCTTAAAGTTATATTCTTTCTTATACTTTCAAAAACCATTAAACTATGTAAGAATCATATTATAAATAAGATTGAATCCAACTATGCGTATTTAGTTATAATAATACTAACATGACCAACTAAAAACACTGCGGGTAAAGCATCAAACTTCAAAAGTTGTGTTATACTAATATTCGATGCAATCAGGTTTGAGTAGAAGAAAATTTAGTCATAACTAACACACACGAGAGTAATAGCCAAAAAAAGTGCGAAAATATAAAATTTGAACAACTTAATCGATTTCATCACAGCAGTCAGTATATACCATATGCAAGAAATGCTGAATGAAGCAGCGGAGGCATATGCAGTTCCGATAAACCGAGCTGTTTGGATTAGCAAAATCTTCACATTCATCCCTCAATCAGCAACAAGTAGAGCCCATCGTCACCAATCGAGGCCCACTATTAAGTTCAATCTAAAAAATATCACCAAAACCCATTCATACGAAGAAACATTTGAAGATCGAATACCAAATCATGGTAGCAACTTAAATGCAATGAGAGAGGATCCCAAGACGAGCACCCTCTCCCTAACAATAATCAAGACCCAAATGCCTTTTTCTTGTGGTGGGCAACGTTAAGAAATATCTACAAACCTGCGAGAAATATATAACGTCACTCAATTGATTCAAGTAACGATGGAAATTAATAAATTGCAACTTTGTAGGTAAATGAGCTTCGGTAAAAAAGACAGCACTTCACAGAGTTGCAGCTTAAGCCATCACCAAATCCCCAATTCAAAAACAAGAAAATCACAACCAGTAATGAAACAGTACAACTCTTTCATATTCTTCAACATCAAGCAACTGGTATTAGCCTAATTTCTTGAAAGAACATTCACGATTGAATTGAATTCTCAGAAACCCAGAACAAGATTCAGTTTTTCGTCCGACAGAGAGAGTCCATCACCAGATTAAGTGACTGTTGCTAACTCCAACTCAGCAATTGGGAGAAACGTGATGTGTAATGATAGAACCAGTTCAACTGCAAATTTTTCACCAAAACCCATTCACCAAAAAAGTGCAAGAAACTTAAAGATCAAATTCCAAATCCTGCAAATTAATTGCAATGAGAGAGGATCCCTAGACCAGCACCCTCTCCCTAACAATAAACAAAATCCTGATGTCTTTTCTTGTGGTGAGCAAACCTGCGAGAACAAATTGAGCTAGCATGATGAGAATGGAGAAATAAAACGTCACTCAAATGATTTACAAAATGATGGAAATTAATAAATTGCAAGTTTACAGCTAAACGAGCTCAGACGAAAAAAAGACAACACTTCACAGAGGACATCATAAATTCCTCAGTTCGAAAACAGAAAATTACAACCAGTAAAGGAAAAAGTACAACTCTTTCCTATTTCTTCAACCTGGTATTCACCTATTTATCGAAAAAACATTCAAGATTAAAATTGAATTCTCAAAGACCCAGAAAAAAGATTCAAGTTTTTCGTCCAACATAAAGAGCCCACTGGTTGGTTACGCGACTGTTGCCAACTTCAACTCAGAAATCAAGAGGAGAATGAAAAGAATGTAATTTGCTGAGATATGAATATAAACAAAAGCATGATATTCTTCTAATATAAATATCTATTATAAAAATCAGTTTAGGTAGTGCTCAAGTGCCACGATTTTAGACGGTCATTCTAGACACGGGCAATATTAATCATGGATAGACTGTCCGGGTAGTCGATACTCAAAAGACTCGAAACAGGTAGCTAGGCGATCTTAAAGGACACCTAGACGTCCATAACTGTATTGAATATACCTTAGTTATTAAAAATTAAAATAATTATGAAAGTATTAATTTTTGCATTATCTTTATGTTTGATCATGTTAAGTAATATATTTTATATAATATATCCTTAAAATTGTAAAGGGTAAATAATAATTCTCAACATTTACATGAATAAATTTTAAAAATTATAAAGGATAAATAATATTTTACAACCTCTTCAATTATTGGTAATAAGTTACAATATGTAATATACAAAATGCCGATATCGCAATCTCTCGCCATCGACGGTCCAATTTCCTCGAAAAAAGCAAGCGTGCGAGAAGAACGCACCAAATTTGAGAGAATAAAATGTCATTTCACCTTATATCTATTGGTCTCACGAGTGAATTTAATTTAAGGCAACATATGTACCCAAATTCAAATTGACATAATCAATCTATGGGTCCTCTCTTCGACTTAATCTCAATGTTTCCTTCTTGATTAAGGTTTTTATAGAATATATAAATGAGGAAATATAATGCACGACGTGGTCGGCCCGGGTCTTTGCCCCTTTGTTCCGGCCTCTTCGTGGTGCGTGGAGAGCGAGCTCCAACGTGTGGGGGTGAGAGTGGCTCCCTCGATGCCGTGTTTGCCGTAAATCGTATTCTTTTTGTTTGGGTTTCTTTCGGGCTTTAGTTCAAGTGGTGAAGTTGCGGTGTGTTTGCCCGACTATTGGGAGGGCTTTGCTGTATTCTAGAAGTAGTTGTAATTTTGTGTATTCTTAGTGTTTTTTTGGTGTTTTATCTGTAATTTTTTTGGGTTGTTCTACTGTTGGGAGCAATCTATATATATATAATTGCTAGCTAACCCCATTTAATAAAACATTTAATAAAAATATTTTCATTTTCCCTCCAAAAGAAGTTACATTTTTTTAATTAATTACTTATTAATCTCACATTTAAGAAGGTTTCTTTTAGTTAAACTTAATTAGTTAATGACTAAATTAAAAAATTTTCTTTTAGTTAATCCCACATTTATGTTTCTTATTCTCATTTATATATATAAACGTGATAGTCATTATTTTTGTGCAGAAACTATATATTATTATTTTTTATTTCATTATGAATTGAATAAGCAATTAAAGTTATAAGAAATATTAACAAATGTATTAATTACAAACATTATAATACATATCATGTTACATTACAATATAAAAATTGAAATTATTTTTTTTGTAATTTATTTTCCAGCCATACTCAATCAAACATATAACTACAAAATGATACGAAAAATTAGTTTCATAATTAAAATTAAAAATTTAGCTCCCAAAATGGTAAAACCTTATAAATTATTAGTATAGATACATTTAAATGACATATAATTTATAAACTTAGACTATACGCATAATAAGATGAATTGAAAAAAAAATTAATGAATTAAATAAATAAATTATTATTATAACACATTCTATATAATTATTATAGCAAAGTCTATATTGTCAATATTATCATTTAAAAAGTTTATTGAAAAAACATATGTATAAAAAAAATCCATATGATCATAATAAATAGTGCAAAATTAACAATCTTTGACTTTCTATTTGATAGTAATAATAAAATATTTTATATTACTACTATTCAATAAAATGCATGATTTCTGAATATTTGATTATCGCAATCAACATTCTTTTTTTATAAATTAAAAAGTGTGTTGAATAAATTGTCTCATATCCCTCCTTAATATAATTTGAAAACGTGCTGAGCCTAAATGGTTGGCTCGCACGCTTCGGAAGCTTATTTGGCAACATTACATGCTTTGGCTTTTGGTTCGGATAAAAATTAATACAATTATATTCCATAATAAATAGGTTCAGAAATAAAATACTTATTTTGTTACACGACATCTAAAGTTGGAAGAGATAAGAATCATAGAATCCTATTTATTTTGGTCTCATTTTATTTTATTACTTCTAATTTTTCTACGCATCTCCTGTGCACTTTTCCTTCTCAACTTCTGTTCAACTCGCGTTTTTCTCTTA